CAAAGAGAAGAACCATGACGTGAAACAGGATCATAAATTCGCCGAAAAAAGTGTTAAGCGTCTTTCTGCTAAAGGCTAAGATTTACCAACTTGTTGGGAGAAGGAGTTTAACGAGAAAAACGTAAAAGGGGAGGAGCTTTAGCTGGATGGACACCGATATTCTGCGGCCTTCCAACCTGTCGCAGGCACCAGTTCAACCCCTATGCAGCAGCAGACGGACCGAGACTCTGCCTACACCTCATCATCATCTTCCAAAGTTTTAAGTCTGTATTACTATCGGCTCTTTTCAGGGCCACCAAGATTTTCCAAAATAGTTAAATTTCTGAACATTTCCCAACTGAAATTCATACCAAAAGGTTCTTTTCAGGGCAATCATAGTCATACTAAAGAGTATAAACAGAGAGAACCCCGCTAAAATTCCTATTCCTACATGAAACACAAGCTCCTGCTGCAGTGAACAAATAACATTTATTATATAGGAGCACGTAGTCGTACATCAAATTACAAAAGTGGTAATGTCAAGCATTGTCCAATGTACAAAGAAAAAGTGATAATTTATCACTGTTTTTATGAAATAAACGTTCTTCCCAAACCCAGTCGTCATAATCGAGTACCACTTGGTTGCACATCATTCTACTTTAACCTGAAAAGATATAAAAGAGCGCTGCTGTCTAGCCTTAACTCATTTTCGCTTCGGATGACGTGGCGAGAAGGCAGCAGAATCAGCAATAGCAGCAGTAGGAAAATGATGGCAGGTTAGGTAGTCCACTCTTCTACCCAACAAGCAACAATGACTGGTAGTTATTAAGAAGGAAAACGTCTTGGTAAAGAAGGCACCAAGCGTCATCGCAAGGTTCTTCGTGATAACCGCCTTCCGTCGTCTAGCTCGCCGTGGCGGTGTCAAACGTATATCCGGTCTGCTCTACGAGGAAACCGAGGTGTTCTCAAGATGCTCCTGGAAAATGTGATCCGTGATGCAGTCACCTACTCTGAACACGCCAAGCGTAAGCGCCATGGATGTCGTCTACACTTTGAGGCGATAGGGACGCACTCTGTACGGTTTTGGAGGTTAAATCATCACCAACTTTGCAAAACAAAACGGCTCTTTTCAGGACCACCAAGCTTATTATAGTAAAGAGTTGGAATAGAATTTATCTGTGCCTGTTTGTCCATATTCAGAACCACATGCCCCCAACGACCACACAAAATGCTCTCCAGAGTTATAATCTTGTAACCAAACTTGGAAGCAGGGGTGCAAGTGATTTTGATCGATTCTTTTCATCTTTCGTTAATAACTCGTTAATTGCCCTTTGCTTTCAAGGTATTGACATTGGCAAACTACGCATAAGGAGAGTATCGCTACTTGATAGCAAACTACTCATGATGGGAGGTGTCTGTGTAGCTTACCGGGGTGTGAAAAAGAAAGGCAATCAAAATTTCATTTTGTGATTGTTTCCCAAACACAGACATCATATTGAAGCACCACCGTGATTATGCATTGTAGCATTCTCTCTAAATTTCAATTCGTGCAGTAAGTGCTTCAGTGTTTATACTCCACATTGAATAGAGTCAATATTCGAAGTGGAACAAGTGTTTATTGAGAAATTCTGTAAAAATCTTCAAAATGCCTCAACACATGGCTGCTAAATATCTCCGCGAATATCGGAAGCGTGCGAGAGACCAGGAGACAGGAAAACCTGCGAAACAGACGCGGATCGTTGCTGAACGCGTTCAAATGTATCGAGCCAACGGTTATCATTATAGGATTTATTCTATAACCGCCCAATATCAAAAATTTGAATAATGAATTGTTCATTTTGGAGTTAAGTTTCTAAACCATTTATTTTGTTATTAATATATTAGTGAATGGAGCATCAAAAACAATCTCGTAGTTCTACGTCAACAATGCGGTCGTGCTTTGGACACAACCCTTAACTTTTTTCCTATATTGTAGCACGACATTCACTGAATTTTCACCGTTATTATTCACTGACTACGGTAAAAATAATGTTGTTAAAATGTATTGTTTCAAATCAGTTTAAAAAATAATCAGTTGATCTTCCAGTTTGTTTTTCTCAATATGGAGGTCTATTTGGAAATTTACGCGAGAATTGGCAATAACTGTCAACCAGACTACAAGCAATTTTAGCTTAGCTTAGCTTAGACTGATTGCACCTATCAATGGTTGCTACTCCGTGATTGATCAGAATCAGTGAAATTGTACAATTAATCAACTGAATGGGGCTGGGAGTGATCGTCCATTCTCATTGTACAAGTTTCAGTGACTTCATATTTTGTAGATCAATAACGGCGCCGGCCGCGTCCTTGCAATCAGGTGGGAGTAGGGAAGGAATATTAGAGTGACCTTTGTTGTTTGTGGGCCGTGTTTACCTCTGCACCCCAACAAAAGACACAGGAAAGGAGATTTTGTTAGGAAGTTGGGTTCGTTGGATCAATAATCACCTTGATAAGTGATGCGACCATGGTTTAAATTAATCAGTGTTATCATGCATTATACTTGGATTTGCCTGAAGCCTAAACAAAATGGTTGATCATTATAATATAAATCTGAAGACGTTCCATCATCGAAAAGCTGAAAATAAACTTAGAGCATAAGCAAAATTGACCGCCCGTGACAGCCAACACAAAAGAGTTGAAAACCTATTCAAACAAATCAAATCAACAGACAAAACCAGGGTGAAAGCTGTAAGAGTGAATCATTACAGTATAAATCTAATGCTGTTCCGTTATCAAAGAGCTGGAAGAAAACTTAAATAATTTAAATCAATAGATCCTGTCTGAATGAAGGCTGAAAAAAGGGAACAATTATACAGCAATTACCCCATTTTGTCAGCTAGCAAAGTATGTGTATCTTAAACATCCAGATATGAAATCACAATTATGTGGAGTTACTGAAAAATAACAGTCTGATGCGTGGAGAGGATGACAGGATCGAGTCATAACTGTAATGTGAATATTAGGTAGATTTATCATCATCAAACTATTCTTGAATTAACCTGGAAGAATGTTTGTGAATCATTGTTATACAGATAAATTAAATTGAACTTAATGATTCAAACTCCAGCCTGTAGAAAAGCTGAAAAAAGGGAATCTTTACAATGTGGATCCTACGATATTCCACTATCGATGGGCTGAAAGTATTCAGTCTTGATCAATAGATTTAGCTATTTGAACCAAAGCCGGAAACGAAAGAAAAAAAATATACGAATCCCTTCCATCGTAGTAAAGATGTACCACGCCATATAATACATATGTTCACTACCCTTCAGCATCGAATCGCCAAAACAAAGGACCACAACACCCGCACTGAACACTGCAACACGAAAAAGTTCGCCATCACCAAACACTGAAAGCTCCAGTAACACCCAAAATAGTTCAGCGGAGGAACAACTTATCTGGATGCCGCAGCCAGTCAACCAGACTAGAAGCAATTTTAAATAAAGAAGAATTTTCTTTATTTTTGGAAGTTTGTGGAAGAACACTTCAATCTTGAATTTCTGTGCACGGAATCTTGGAAATTTGTCTATGTTTGAATTTACTAAATTATTCCTAAATAACTAATCTTTGGATATCTTTGCAAATTTGTAAAGGATTTGCTTAGGATCGTCTGCAGAATTACTTCTACTTTCAGGATTTTCCTCAATAATTTTATGATTCTGTACGGTATTGTATAGAAATTGTCTCCATAACAGCCTTGGAATTATGTGCAGAACACTTAGGAAACTCCCGAAAATCACTTTTAATTTATCTTCGCATTCTTGATCATTCCTGCGAGAATATTCATAAACCGCGTCACGATGAACGACGTTGAGCCAATAGAGTTGTGTTTGTTCATTGTCGACTGAAACTGAGAAGCTAGAGCAGCGAGTGTGTAGAACGTTTGCGATTTGAATACTTGAATACAGCCAAGGAAGTTTCTGTACTTCTGCATCGACTTCCAGATGATTGACTGATTTTAAAGCAAAATCGTTCATTAAAATTGGCACGCAATCCAGCACACCGAGAGAGCCACCAAGAAACAGGATTTTTAATTAAAATAGAATCACTGCTACACCACCACTGAACATGTTAACCTCAGTCCCCGAATCGTTAAAATCATCCCAATAATAATAATTAAATAGCAGTTATTTATTTTTCTTATAAATTTACTGACTCATTCATCAAAGTACTAAAATAAAAATATTTAAAAACTTCTCAAAATAATGCAATGAACTAAATTCTTTTACATACAATTTTTGACATTTCAGAAATTCTGAGATTTACGGAGTTTTCAGTTAAATCAAAAATTCGCCGACTCCGGTAATCTAAACTCTGTCTGTATGTCAATAAATTATTGCCATTGTATCCATGTAGCCAAAATTTGCTTGACGGACATAAATGAATTGCCCCATTCTTTCTCAACATTGAGTCCCTAACACGTTTTATGATTATAATTGATTTTCACAAAATTGGCAAGAGCCTTCAAACGAAAGTAGGTAATTAAGTGCAAAATAAAAATGGGATCAATTGGTTTTCCTTCCGAGAACTCTCAAACTTAAAGCAATTTATCTAGGAATTTGCCTTCTCTACCCGGAGGGCAACTAATGACCGCCCCACGTTCATGCAATCCTCCAGACAATCCACCTCTTCATGGCATTGAGTCTCATCTCCAACATCACTGCATGCCAAGTTCTGCAACAACATTTCGCTCCTACCTGTAACCAACAGGTTCAACACTCCCCCAAGCTTCAAGCATTCCAAACTCAGCAATGCAATGGGCTTTAAACTTCTGGGAATCTCACATCACCGCACCGCGATGGATGAAGGAACTTAAAAAAAAACCTGCTTGACCACACGGACGGATTCGCGCAGTGTCAAAACAAAAACATTCGGAAAGCCGACAACCATGCGTCATGTCAGTGTTGTGGGCTCCTGGTGTCTGTCTGATGCTGTCTGATGTGTGAATAATCAATTACAAAGAATCGAAAAAGGATCATTACCCGGTGATGTTCCTTTGGTGATGGTTGTTGCTCTTCAGCATTCGCTTCACGTGTCGGACCCCACCGGTGTTGCCAGTTTGATTGGTCCGTGGAGCTCTGGACGGGCCGGCCGTGGATCTCCACCGGGAGCCACCGGGATTATCCAGCCGACGGTTGCTATGCGCTGAAATCGGAGTTCTTGGCTGTAGATGTTGATTATGGGGATGCTGCTGTCCGTGAACAGGGTTGCCAGCATGTTGCTGATGGTGATAATTATTCGTTGGTGGTGGTTGATAGTAATTGTTTCCGTTGCCCGTGCCCGCAATTAGCGAGTAACTAGAGGAATTTCTGTGGCCTAAGGACACCGACTCCAGCTTGTGCTGCTGGTTTTGATGGTGATGATGATGACGGTGAAGTTGTTGTTTTGTTGGATGTTGCTGATTCACATTTTCACTGTAATCACTGTTGGAATGCTGGTACGCTTGACAAGCAATTGCACTAATCACCACAATCATCATTGCCACTAAGCACAACTTATTCTGCAATTTTCCCATTTTTATCCCGCTCTGCTCTGCTGGCTACGTTCGACGCTCTGAGATCTGCAATTGCACACTTACTTATTGCACAAAAGCCGCGGCCACGGTCAGGATTTTCAAGATCGTCTGAGATCAGCACTGAGTGAATGAAATTCAACTAGCTTATAATTATTTCTAAACACTTTGCAATCAGCACTCAATTAAATACGAAAAGCAAAACCTCTTCTATCGATATTGGCAATCTCTTCTCTATTGCTCCGCGAAAATACGCTGTACCGAGGAATTTTGTTGCTGCTGCTGATCGCGCCAAGACCTGCAATTTACTCCGACGAAACTCACGGAAGACGTCGATTTTCGCAAAAAAGTAACTTTTTCGCTTTTTTCTATTGGCAGGGTTATTAAGTGCCGCGAGCTCACCGTTGTTGTGTCGATCTTTTTTTCGAAACAAGAGCTTCAAGAGACCCTACAGGAGATTTGCTGCGCGCACGCGGTCACTTATCCGACCAGACCGAGAGTCTCTGCCATACTAAAGCCCCGTTTGGTCGTAATCTGAGAATGTAATAATGAAGGCGGTGTGCAATTTTGCTGTTTTCAAGCCTCATACCTTGTTGTTTCCTTTTTCTTTACTGCTGGTGCTGAGGTTTGTTCTCTCTCACCGTAAGCGTCCCTCGACGACGCGGACGCGAAGCCGGTCAAACTACGGAGTCACTCCATGCTTGAATGGCTCTCCGAGTGCGTGCGCGGTCACAAGCCAAAGGGAGGATGAGATGCTGCGCGCGACGGAGAGCATTTTGGATGGATTTTCTGTTGCCTTGTTTATCCTCGCGTGTTCACGCGTACGATCCGAATGGAGTGATATGCGTGGAGAATCTACGAGAGTGACCCGAGTGGTGGGATTGATCAGAATGGAAGCTACATTACTATTAAATACCAACTGGTACTCTTCACTTCCCTCGCCGATTTCTCGCTACAGCAACAACCCCATAGAGGAGTCAATTCCCCATCTACTGGTTGCGACAAATAAACGATGGTAGCGTAAAGTGTGAGTTATCGAGGCGAGGAATACTTGTATTTGAATGTCGTTTTCTCTACTCATCCAGGCGAATTTCACGGGAATAAGATTTGAGATTTTCAATGCGATGATAAACAAACGATGCAACCGTATCAACTCAGCAGTGTAAAGGGTCCTGTGATAAAACTCATGATCTCCTGCTCAGTAAGCAAAAACGGTCACCACTAGACCACGACGCTCCTCGCTAGCTTCTGTATCTTACACCTGTCAGGGAAGGACTCTCATCCAGATATTTTGGCACCACCATTCTGAACGTGTTCGAGAATGCCTGCACCGCCGCTTTCAATGCTACGTTATGGATTCCATCCGGACCGGAAGCTTTCTTCACTTTCTATCCATTGCAGAGATGCCAGATTTTATTTTCAGAAGTCTGCGAAAAATGTCTGTGAATTTCAGAAATGTCTGTAATTGGGCTACATAAAATTAGCAGAAGTTTTGCGTGTGACGAAGGGGAGAGGTGGGGGGGGGGTCATGAAATAGATGCGAAATTTGAAATGTCTGTAAAAGTCATGTTCGAGCAAAAATGACCTGCTTTTAACGAATTGGACCTTATTGGAATTGGGAATGCATCCATTTACGCCGTATACGTTAAAAACAATTAATAAAAAGATACATTACGATTACACGACAAATGAGGTCAACTCAAAGTTGAGATTAGTTCACTCATATTCTTGAAAACGTAGCTAACTCATAGACTGAGTAAAACTTCCCGAGCTTTTATACGAATTTGTTTTCTAATATGAGCAACATCTCGATGTACATATGAACTTAGTACACGGAAAAAAGTTTTCATGTAGTTTCCATAGGGAATGCACATAATATTTTTCCATTATCAAATCCAATTATATTTTTCTCAACGGCATGAGGACAATTTCGGATCCCAATCATAAAGCAGTGAGAAATTCATCTTCAGTTGCACACTATACTTTCCAGATCCATGCTTGAAAGCTCGGTGCTGTAAATAATTCGGGTTCCAGTATGCACGATGCACGATGCACGAGATGATGCATGAAGTTTATACCACTCATATATCTATCATTATTCATAAAAAAATCTATTCACACCAATTCTTTTTTTTTTTTGCTTTTTTCTAATGAAATATAAAAGTAAACAATATTGAAAAAGGACTTCATCAATACTATATCGAATTCAATGATTCTTATGTTTCAAAGTTCATAAAAAGTATATGTCAGCCTTATACTTTTCATTTAAGCACGATTCATTGCATCCATAAGACTTATACATATGTTTAATTGCTTATCCTTATACTTTTTATGAGCGGATGGCAATGGCAAAAATCTATGTGGTTTGCTTAATACATTCAATATGAATAATTCTTTTCGTGCAGACAAATGGTAAGTTACAAATTCGCTGTTGTCGTTGTCGAAGGCGCCGTCGCAGTCGCTGTCGTAATCGCCGTCGTAGTCGTAGGCAGTACTTGGCAGTACTGTTAGTATATTTAAAATTAACCACCAACCGCTGAAAATATGAATTATCGCGTATTTCTGTTGTTCATTACATGCCAAGTGAAATTCGAGAACGTAATTTCATTTGAATAGCTTGTTTAACCAGGTCTCTTCACGTCGGTCATAGCTTGTTATGATTGCCTGAACCATGCGTAAAGAGAAAATTGAAACATTTAACGTCGCGTGAAAGTGGATCTTAATGAAGGCCTCTTTCGTAGCTTAAGGATTTCAAAGATCGTCAGTTGCAGTGGCTTGATTACTGAGCAGAAAAACGTGGTCCTTGGTCCTTTCATATTAAAAATGTATGGTATGATCGCTTGTCTATCGTGTATTTTGTAAAACTTTTCGTTGTCGTCGGTTCCGGGTTTGAATAGTTATAAAAACTTGAGTAACGCTATAATGTGATATGAGGGGCTCGGTGGCCTTAGAACAACCGGTTTTGCTTACTGAGCAGAACATCATGAGTCTAATCTCAAGCCCATCCACATTCAAGATTCGTCAATCGTTTTATTTGTTAACATGACTACATGGTAATAACAGCAACTCGATGATTAAAAAGGAGCTCGTCTGCCTAGTGGCAAACGGTTTTGCTTACTGAGCAGAAGACCGTGGGTTCAATCCCAAGCTCCTTCGCGTTATATGATTGTTAGGACATCAATTCAGCTTATCGTTTACCAAAACGAACCCTGCTGCAAACCCAACCCTATTACCCAATATCCCAGTGATTCCTCGTTGAAGTGCAGAGGAGTTCTCGGCTTCCATTAAAGCGAGTGTCACGTCAACACATTCCTACCTCTTCCTTTCTTGACCTGTATTCGGGCGCGGTCGGCGCTGGTATTGCCTAGTTTGAGATCTCCAGTTTTAACACATTGAGGATGATTGCTAGTCCCAAGCATCGTCTATTGGTTCTCTGTGTAATTACAGCTGGTCTGGCAATCACAGAGTAGCAACCGTGGGCGGTCAATCATGCTCATGCTCATGCTCATGCTATCAAATCCAATTATATTTTTCTGAATTTCACATAACATTCATGTGATCACATGAGTTCTATATGATAAATCACTTTTCATTTCACATTTCATTTAACATATAAGGTTCATGTGATTTTGTTGGTGCAATTCCCAATTATGATGTCACATGAAAGTTATGTGAAATTCTAATTAATATTTTCAATTGGATATGTGATTTATTCTTTGAGTGTGTGCTTCTAAAATGAGTAAATTTTTCGTAGATTTGTGTCATATTCTAAACAGATTTATGAGACTCGGACAAATTTACTCATTCTACAAGTAAACTACGTTTTCTAGAGTTTGAGTAATTTAAACTTAAATTTGAGTCGATCTTATATGCCATGTAGTGTGGAAATCCGTTAGTTACCTAGTACTGGTCCTTTTGCACGCCAGCAGCGGGGGAACGAGCACATTTTAGTGAGAGATTCAACTTTTCACCACCTAAATATAGAGAAATCGACAATCAAAAGAGCAATTTATAAGCTTATTAATACGATTCTAAACACTTCGTGCTCAAAAAGTGTTGATGAATCAGGATCAGGGTTGCTGAAACGCAACATATTCATTACATTTTGCAAAATAATTACAGCACCTGCTTTTGTGATTGTTGCATGTTCAAACTCTGGAAGCAACGATATTTGCCCGGAGATTTGGCAACAGCATTGATGGCCAAACGTGACTAAACCCAAGACCAAACCGATAGTGCCATCGATGCTAATCTTCACCGGATATCTGAGATTGGGGAAGTCTGTTGAGGTAGTGATGGAAATCAGTAATGACTTTGGAGATATCGGAGAATTCCCATTCGTGACATATGCGTTTCCGTACTTCCTATAATGTGTGTAATGCGCTATACTATTACCTCAAAACTTCACAAGCACAGCTGCCATGCCACATACAACAATGAAACTGAAACTTCACAGCAGACGGAGGGAGTTACAACTTCATGAGTGATGTCACAACTGTGTACGAAATTTGTGCTCAAGAACACTTGAAATGATAGGGCATCTCCGCCATCATCAGGTAATCTGTAGACTCTTCAAGGAATCACCATAAATGATTTTTGAACCTACGATTTTCGAACAGATTTATCAACCAGCAGTACTAAAAGGTGGATCAGCAAACTGGATTAGGATTAGTGGATTATCTTGCAAACTGAAGCACACCTACGCAAATAAATTCCACCATCGAATAGGAGAGAATTTTCCCTAGTTCGATTTGCGAGAAAAGATCATTACAAGATTTGATTACAAAAGCTGATCCGACTTTTGGGATTGTTGGTTGAGATTTCACGACGATCCTTTCTTTTAAACAAACGGGTGTCATCGTTACCTGTCATGATACTTATAGAGATGTGACCCGATATAAGAGATATGAACGATAAAAATCAATATTATTTGTTTTTAGATGAATCCGATAAAATGGAATTCTCCGACTATAAATCAATAAATCAAACTTTAGAGTAATTTTCGACAAATTTGGAATAAATCTTGGACTTTCGTCCCCCTCGATTTCATTCACTTTTTCAGTGACAGTCAGGCATGGAAAATCATTTGCATTCATTTCACATATTCATTTACATTCATTTGCCTCTAACTTTTTTCGTCAACAGCATTCCGCAAAATGATGCATAGAACTTTTGTAGATTTTGTTATTAGCTACAAGTTATGTTCATAACTCAAATCTGTATCTCTTATGCATCACGAACTAGAGCGGGCAGAACTTGTTACTGTTTTTCAGTGAATGTAAAATACATTCACTGAAAAACAGTAGTGGCTTATGTTCGCTCTGCTTCGTCATGCATATGAGATACGGATTTAACTTGTTACCAAAAGTTGTAGCTTATAACAAAACCTTCAAAAGTTCCATACATAATTTTGTGGAATGCTGTTAAAGAAAAAAGTTAGAGGCAAATGAATGTAAATGAATGCACGAAATGAATGCAAATGATTTTCCATGCCTGGTGACAGTGTCTATAGACAGTCTAGTTATAGACCGGCCAACATGAGTTGACGTATCCAAACAAACCGTCTTATCATATGGAAAATGTTCGCAGCACATTGACAGGTCTATAAATATGAGTGTCTATAACAGTGACAGCTCGTTCGTGTGGTAGATTTGAAAACGTGCGAATTTCTAATGATTAAAGATGTAAAACAGTGTAACAAAATAAATTTTAAAATTTTCCCTTGATTACAAAAGTCTGTAAATATCTGTGAAAAAAACTAAAAAAGTCTGTAAATGTCTGTAACGAACAAAATGTCTGTGAAAAAAATAAAAGTCTGTAAATTCACAGACATGTCTGAAAATCTGGCATCTTTGATCCATTGGTACGAGTTCCTCGTTGGTGACTTCGACGTTATGTTCCTCTCCATCTCCGTACGGTGTAGGTGGCCGTAGATCGTTGGGTCGTGATTCGGGAAAAGTCCTTACACGATGACACATTTCAGCTGGCATCGTTGCACCTCTGAGCTTCGCCATCACGACATGGTATGCGTCACTCTAGGGGTTGGCATCAGCGTCTAGACACAGCTCTTTAAAACAGTTTGACTTGCTCTGCTTTATCTCTAGTTTAAGTGTGGCCCTCCTCTACGTTCCTCTCTACGTCTGCTTCTGTTCTTGCTGTCTGAACACGTCTTCTGGCTCTAAGAGCAACCGTACCAATGAGTAAATAAGGCACATTTACCAGCCTCTACCATAACGCTACTTGCGTACCGGGGGTTGCTATTCAGGTGGGGGAAACAGCAATCCGCACCTTGGGAAGTAGTGAGTTCATAAATTTAGTAACCCGGTAGCAACGCATCAGACGGTTGCTATTTTGAATAAACGTCAAAAGTTTGTTTTGCCGGTGTGGAAAACGGTAACTTAAATTATGACTCTGATAGCAACGACCGGTGTGGAGAGGAGTGATTAAGCCAAAATGGAAACGATGTGCGTAAGTAAAATAGTGCCGCAAATGGCAACGACTGGTACGGTTGCTCTAAGACAGCTAGCGCGGAGTGTGTTAAGTCCACCAGGCACCAGGACGCTGTTTATTATTTGGCTCCAGTTTCCACGGCATGGTCGTGTCACATTCTCTCACTAAAGTTTCTGTCAGTTCGTCTCGGATCGCCTGATGGTGTATATCCGTCACACACTCCATTTCATGTACACTCAAAAATATAACTAAACATTGATAGATTACAATTTATTCATTTTATGGTTATGCTACATTTATACATTGCTTCGATTAAAATTTCTCTTTAAAATTATACCAACTCCGAATAACAGTGTAAAATTCGTTCAGTGTATTGACTTTTCTGACGTTGCGTTGCCGTTCCCGTTTTTCCCGAGGAGCTCCAGGCTATACTGTACTAGTTGAAGTAAGAAGAGTGTCCACGGGGTGATCGTCATGCATCTTGCCGGCGGATAATTGCCGAATTTGAACAGGTAATTACGAGTGCTCGGATAGTTTGCTGATGTCCGTTTGATTATAGAATGGCCTAACACTTTTTCTGTTCTTTGCAGATCTTACCAATTGGTTTCCGGAAGGCAACTAGCATGTCGTGTTGGATAAGATTTGGAAGTGTGACGACTCAGAACCATTCCGAGAGCCGGTAGATACCCTTCTGCATCCAGGTAAAGTCAAATTAGCGCAGAAACAGATCTTCGATGAGTTACGAATTACAATTATAATTTTAGATAACCAACAACGATGATGATAATGAGGCGGGTCTATCGAGACGGCTAGCCCGAAATGGAACAACTAGGAGGATTTCAGATCGGGGTTTCGTCCAATAATAACGAAATCGCAATCGCAAAAGCTGATCAGGAAGGCCACGACCAAGGCCATCATTGTCCTGACTGGAACGACTTGTGTCGGAGGGCTAATCATGTTCCCCGAATTCATATCAGCCGATGCGGATCTTTACTGTTTATCTTTCAGTTGTTGAAATATAGCTTCGACTCCAACTCCAACAGAAATAAATATATTTTACATATTTGTATTGCATTTATTCACCAAACCAACAACAATCAAATAAAACTGACAGCAAGGGAAGCAACAATAAAAGCTAACACGAATAAATAAACGCTATGCATCAAAAGAATACATGCCCTTTATACATCCGCAGGTATAAACAATTTTTATACTAAGTTAGTAATCTCTCTCTCTTTATACCGATCTATGCGTCAGGCGTCAGGAGAGTTGCGATTTAGCGTAACTTTTATACTATTTAGATTTGAAATTATTTTGAGTGTATGTCACCAGCGACGAACTGCAGAAAGTGACGTCGATAATGGATTCCCAGCCATCTATGGGAAAAGTGCTGCTGGTGCCTTCGTTGGATAGCCTAACTTCCAGCTTTGCCAGAACTTCTAGCAGACTGAGCCCTCTTGCGTTTGAACATCTGCTTCCCTACTTCACTCCCCAAGCATTGAAGTGTCTTCCGATGACTAGCGGTTCACGTCTAATCTGCTCTTCGATAAGTCCATCCAGCATCTCGTGGAGCTGATCTTCTCTCTGGAAGGTGCGTGTATGCAGTTATGAAGATTCCATTAATTTTGGCGATCACGAAATCTTCGTATGAGCTCGTAACCACTTCTTATGTGGCATCTGCCAATAATTTGTGTAGCAGCCATCCCAGTTCTATATGCCACCCAGTTACCGTTATCGGGAGGGACTCGATACGGTTCCGCATTGATTGAAACTTCGTACTTTGTTTCTGTTGTCGACTGACAACAGTTATTGTGCAGTGTCGCAATGATTGAGGTTTATTTGGGTTACCTCCATTACTGTTGGCCTGGCATCACCGTTTTGTATGTTAGGCATTGGAAGCCTCCCGTCGTAGGTTCGTTTCTGTCCTCTTTTTTGCAGAGCATGTACCTCGGTAGCTTCGTGCAGCATCTTGCCATCTGACCCTTCTCTCTGCATTTTCTTCACAGATCAGTTCTGTCGGGGCCATTGCAGTTCTTCGACTGGGGACCGCCGTTTGTATGCCGCTGAACATCTTCCAGATCACAGTGCACCTTCAATGCACGTCTCAGCTCCTCTTCTGTAGTGATTTTGTCCAGTTTCCTACAATCGACCACTGTTTCCTGGGATACAGTCGCCTCTTCGCCAAGAAACTTTTCGTCGAGCTCTTGATCGAAGGATCATTCTTCAGCTCAAATAGCATCTCGGCTTTCTGGGTGCGCCTGGTTTTCACCACCTTCTCTCCTAGCTCCTTCAACTCCGGATCTTCTCGAACCTTCAGGAGGAGTCTGGCGTACGTCGTTTTGTCCTTTGATTTGACGATCAGAACATCGCCCTTACTTCGCTCCCTATGATACATGGGTTTCTCATCCTTCTGCTCTTCTTTCTTGTTCACTTCCCTTTCATTCCGTTTTATCGCGATGGTACGCCATACTTCCTCCTTGTTGCCTTCCTTGTCGTTCTTGATTTTTTTGCAACGTCTCTTCCTCTCCTGGTGTTTCCCTTTTCCTCTTCTCCGAGCGTGAATTTCGGGGTCCCTTCGGCGTTATCCTGTGCTTCAGTTGTTGCTGCCGGCAGTCTCGGCTCTAGTCCTCAGCGCATCCTGTTCACGTTCGGCAGCAATCATGGCGGTTTTGATACCCGTCACCATTTTCTTTATTGCCTTGTGGACTTTGATCTTATCCTTGACGAAGTCATGGCGTATAGTTATCCTCCTCCTGACCTCCATTATTTTGGTCTTCCCAAGCTGCAGTCCTTCTTGGGGTGTGCTACTGTTGGATTTCGGTGTGAACATCTGGCTTTGAATAAGACCTAGCTCTCCTTGGAGTCCTTGCTGTTCATATTGGGGCTTACTGCTGCTGGTGGAACTCGCTGTGGCCATCAGGTTTAACACTGGTGATCTCTGCAACATCCCGCACCTTGCGAACACGTTCACTCCTCTGTTTTCACTGTATCGCGTCTTGCCACCGTCCTTCATATTTGTTTGCACGGCGAATGAGAACTACTCAAATTTGAGTTTAGTTCACTCAGAATCGCCAAAAGTGCAGGACCTCAGCGATGAGTTAATTTGCCGCATGTTTTCCCAGGTTTTTCCAGGATTTTCCAGGGGAAAATTCCCAAATTTGAAAAAGTAAAGATTGGATTCACTCAGTCTATTGGTACTACTCCGAGACTGAATAAAATTTTCGTCAATTTCCTCATTTTCCGGCAGATTTTTTAGGTTTTCCACAGGAAACCATGGGACAAATTTTACTCATCGCTGAGTTCCTGCACTTTTGGCGATTATGAGTGAACTAAACTCAAATTTGAGTCGTTCTCATTTGCTGTGTGGATTTTCCATTTTCTTCTTTTTTTGTTTTTGTCTCCGTTTTTCTCCATTCTGCTGGGTCCCCTCTCCGGGCCGCTATCTCCACTTGTTGTACGTAGTGGCCTATCGTTATCCCATAGTCATCTATGCAGGCAGGGAGACCATGCTAGGATTGTCACGGTCCTTCATAGGGGCCGTGTTCAGAGCCAGTTCGGCGTAAGTCAGGAATGTTACATCTGAGCCTACTACTCATCAACCTCCAATTGGTGACGAGTTTTGAAGGTATCCGGAGGCCTGCCCAGGTTTTACCGGCACGGGGACAGCTGCACCATTAGCCCACTCGTTATTTCAAGAATCAGTCACCCTTCTTTACCCAGGGAGCAGAATTGCACGACTGTCGGCCCTGTAGCGTGGTATCCAATCCACTGTGCCGTGTCGTGTTCATTATGCCATGTCATGTCCTGTATGCAGCAATTAGCGGTGCCTGTGGTGTAGTGGTAAGCGTGATTGCCTCGCACCCCAAAGGACCTGGTTTCAATCCCAGTCGGCGCCACCAGGATTTTCTGAGGCATCAAATCTCTGATCAAGGGAAGCATTTAAAGCCGTTGGTCTCCGCTCCATGAGTTGATGGATCAGATAGTGTCCAGGTGTGGGAGCTGCCTCCCTGGCGTCAGTAGCATTGGTACTCAGTCCGGAAAACAAATTATAGAAAAAAATGTCGTTTAGTCTTATGAAATTATTAAATAAATGAATAAAACTGTCTTATCCGCAATATGAGTCATATTTCTTCACAGAACTTGTTTAGGGAACATTTAATATATTTTATTGATCCTCTTGTTTATGAAGAAAAATTTAAATTTTAATTGTTCAATTATACTTAGTCATGGTGCCTTCACTTTTTTTTTATTGAAAATTTGAACGTAAATATTCATCTGCCTGTTTTATGGGCCAATTATTGGTATTTTATGGTGCATTTTATTGTTTCTATTGGTGCTGCCGTTTCTGATGGCGGTAATGTGTTAAGTTGTGTGCGTTGGAAAGGTTTTTGTTACTCCTGTTGTCGTCCCAAGTGTCTGCTCATATTTGCTGATGCTGATGTGTGGGCTGGTGGGTCTGAAAGGCTCGGGTATTTGAAATTGGTTTAACAGTTATCCATAAAGATGGAATCGCCAAGTTGATGTAGGAGATGGGATTACCATAAGGGACGGACTTTATACCTTGTGCTAATGGAGGGAAATCATTCTTCATGGAACGGAATGGCGGCTGGCTTCATTCTAAGGGGCTGTTCATAAACTACGTACTCTATTACCACAACCATCAGCTGCGACTTTTCAGACAAAGCTACGAAAAGTTCTAAAGTTTCCTTATGTATCACAATTAAAATAATTAAACCACTAGTTTATATTCAATTTACTTTGAAGATAAAATTTAAAGTTGGCGGTGCCGATTGTATTGAGTATTGTGTTGAGTAGTAAGTAAGCGTGACTGCTTATCACTCCACTAGGTCAGGGTTCAATCCCAATCGAGGGGATAATATCTCTGGTCACGTCTTCCTTCGGAAGGGAAGGAAAGTAAAGCCACCGACGAACCGACATGCCACTGGAACATTTCGTTTATCCCCAATTCGATTTGTCAAATGAGTGATGCGGTTCAGTCAAACGGGCGATCAGATCGGTCAAACGAGGTGAAACGCAAACCAAGTCAATATAAATTTTACGTATGTTCGTGTCCTTGCTGATGATATGACGCGATCGGATGAGTAAAGGGCGGTAGTGTTTAACGTAATTTAAATATGGCATCTTGTGCAAGAATTTCAATGCAGCTTCTATGAGCTGCCACGTCGCTTCGTCGGTTGTAAAGCCGTTGATCCCAGCCCATGAGTTGATTCACCTTCCTGATGTGGGCAATTGGCACTCGCTTGCGGAACAGATAGCGGCCGGGAAGAAATATTAATGTAAAATAAAAATCAAGCTTATTTAGATACTACATTAATTGATACATACTAAAATGTATCGATCAATTTAGTTCCCTGACATCCTCTTTGATTCAGTCCAAAATTAGCAAGAATCTTCATTGCTATCGCTTTAAATAATCCTTATTCTCAAATGCCAAAACCAAAAAGAACCGAAAGCTCCCAGAAGCGTGGATTTAAAATAAAAGATATCCTCACTGGTAGCCGAAACAGAAGTCAGAAAACTACCAAATCACATTTGCATACCGTGCCCATATATCATCGTATCGAATTGATTTGCCATTCCGCAGTAAGTCCACCCAAATCAGTCGCTGGTTTTTCAAGCAAATCGAATGTGTACCTTCACAACGGAATTAAGCTTCTTAAAAGCAACTGACCGCACTCGAGGTTGTCCCGCTCTCACTGTTCTCATCGTTGTCACCATAATCATCCAAATGGAACAAGAAGTTACGATCGCCCCGTTTACGTGCTGCTATCTAGTAAAATTCATTCAAGCCTGAGTCTGAATATTCAGCAGTGCGGTTCGTTCGAGACATTCAATTTGGTTTAATCCGTTCGTTCGGTTATTGAAGGCGATCGATATAAATTTTCTGCATTGAGAAGCAGCAAATGGCTCTGGTTGCTGTTGTACCTCCGGTTTTTACTTGATGACGATTG